AGACTCTTGGGATTCTTGTCACAAAAATAGACGCGAAGATGGAGAGGCGAACTCAGGCTATCATGGATAGGTTGGATGGGCTACTAGGCAGCAGGAGTGGATCAAAGGACGGGGAAACGAACTCGGGAGAACCCAGCAAGGAGCCGAGGGTGAACTTCAATGAACAACAGAATAGGAGAAGGACATATGGATCCACTAGAGGAAGGGGCAGTTCATCCAGCTATGCCACAGGGGACAATAGACCACGGGGCCCAAACATCAGAGGAAGTTCAACTGGCAACAGACAGACCTCAAACGAACGACCGACGCAAGATACACATGCGAATGGGAGATGTGATTCCAGGAACTGGAGTCATGCGAATCAAGGAAGAAGTCATCCCAGCGATTTGGACAGGAGGGAAAATCCAGAGCCTCTATCAAAGGGCAATGATGCCCAAGCAGGGCATTCAAAAGACGCTACCTCAATGGTCACAGCCTTTGAACCTCTGAACAGGTCCTTGGAATCATTCCTAACGAGGTTCTCTAGAACAAATGAACGCAGTGAAAATTCCAGAAGTTTTTTTTAAGAAACCAAGATGCTATACAGATGAATCTGATGGCTGCTTTGATACCTGGATAGAGGTAAGGAAACTCCATTTTGAAGAGGAAGATTTGTCAGAAAGACAAGAATGCAGTGCGCTCACCAGTAACCTGGAAGGGAAAGCCCTAAACTGTGTGATGGCCAAAAAACAATACCAGCGGGATACTGCTGAGAAAATCTTTGAAATCTTGTTAGATCGTTATGGATCAAGGCTGCAAGGACACCAAGTAATGATGCGCTTCGAGAAACGGAGGCAACGTGAAGACGAGACAATAGACAAGTTTCTAGACAATTTGGAGATGCTGAGAAGGCGTAACCAACCAGATGAGTCGAATAGAAGGATGAACCTGGCAGTAGCCTCAAAATTCATCGATGGTGTGAATAATGATTAGCTTCGAACGATGTTAGCGACGCATTACACACTGCTTTCAACCAATGCGCCAACACCAGAGGAGTTGGGACTCAAGTCAAAAGAATATCTTGATATTACAAAAACAATTATGGCACTTTTAACAATGGACCAGCAAACCAAGGTAACCACTGGTACAAACCAAGGGACGATATGGACAAGAGACGCTCTTGTGCAAATTGCAGTTCGACGGACCATCATGTGTCAGCATGCCCAACCTACAAACAGGGCATGAAAGCAATAGTCTTTAGTCTCGAGGATGAAGATGCATCAGAGGTCGATCATGAAGATTTCATGAGAAGAGTAATTGCAAAATTCGGCCCGAGTTGTTTCTTTTGTAACTTGGAAGGTCATTTTAAATCGGATTGTCTACAATTTTAGGATGGTGTGGCAGACATCAAGCATCGAAGGCATGATGAAGCTTTATCGGGTGTGAAAGCCTGCAGGCTCGCCTGTTGGGTGAAGCGGAGGCACGCATAAAGGAGAAACCACAAGAGCTGGCAACAAAGGAGATGCAAACAGTAACTGAAGAAATTCGTGAACCTGAACCAATGACTGCGGCGGATGAATTCAAGATCGACTATAGGGCAGCCGCGAGGGATGCTCTAAACAGAGTCCAGCAGAGTTGGTGAAGAAGGAGATCGAACAAAAGGTGAATTTCGAATTAGAGAATGAGAAAATTCAGGAAAGGCTAAACGTCTTCGAGGCATTAGAAGTCGAAGAAACGAAAGCAACAAGCAGTTTGACCATGAAAATAAATGTGATCTCTGGGTAGACGTTCGGAATGGTGCCACAAGGAAGCAGAATAAAGTCAATAGTATCAATTGCGGGACACCAGGTGATCAGGAACCCTAGTGAACCCTCAGAGTTCACTATGATGCATTTAGACACATATGCAGATTATCTGAGACAGGTAGAGCCACGCACTGAGTCAAGGGCTGTGCGAGCGTTGTTGACAACCGTTGGCCCTCGAACAAAGAAACTCTACGGGCGATATGTGGAAGTCTATGGACTGTATCAAGAGATGTTGAACGTTGACGGGATAAGTATTTACACTAGGACCTACGTCACAACAGATAGTGACTAAATGGGGCAAATCTGTTTGGGCCAGGAATAATTTCAGGTCCGTAGAATCGGCCATGATGCTATGATGGAGCAAGATGCAGTACACATAGGGTACGAGGCAGATGTGACCGCTTATCCGCTAGACACCAATGCAAAGAAAACTGGAGTAACAGGATTACTGGATACAGGAGCAGTGGTAAGCGTGGACCAGCACAAACAGGGCATGAAAGATGAGTTTTCGTTTACCTTTCTATCTGAAAAAATTGGTAAATTGATTTTATCTGTTATTATTCTATTAATTAATTTCTTAACATACCTCCGGTCCGGATTTCTAATCCTTATTAGGCCGTTGTTCAAGTCAATCATCACATCGAAGTTCCGGACAAAATCACGGCCCAGGATGAGGTGGTCTGAGTCGTCTAAATTCTTAACCACCAGGAAGCTAATCCAAAGATCGCGTCCTCCCATGTGAAGGACCGTCATTGGTGTCCTTCCGGCCACGTAGATTGGTCCAACGAACCTCAGATTGGCGGCCGCCATCCGCGGACCAATCTACGTTGTCCGAAGAACACCAATGACGGTCCTTCACATGGGAGGATGCGATCTTTGGATTAGCTTCCTGGTGGTTAAGAATTTAGACGACTCAGACCAGTTCATCCTGGGCCGTGATTTTGTCCGGAACTTCGATGTGATGATTGACTTGAACAATAGCCTAATAAGGATTAGAAACCCGGACCAGAGGTATGTTAAGAAATTAATTAATAGAATAATAACAGATGAAATCACTTTACCAATTTTTTCAGATAGAAAGGTAAAACTATAGTCGGGACAAGCTGTAATAGCAATTGTTGGTACCCAACCCAAATAGTCAAGTTTGGTACCCAACCCAAATAGTCAAAGCTCGGCGATTTTAGGCCGGAGCTTTTCAGTAACACAAAAAGAGCTGTGTGCCAGTGTGTTGTTGAACACACTGGACACCACGGTTACGATCCAGCAAGGAAAGAAACTTGCTTACGCTTTTCCGATGAGGGGACACGAAACTTGAAGAGATATAATGTGAAAGACTGCCCGAATCATGCTAATAAGGATAAAATTTTTAAAAGAATTGATTAATTCAAATATGTTAAAAAATTGTTTACAATGAAATCCGAAACAGATGACGGCTTGTCGAGCTGCTTGACCTTTCCGGAACGCCCCTCATCATATGAACTAGAATCCGACAAACCGGTTTTGCCGGAGATAGAACCCTTAAGAGGGAAAATAGGTGAGGGAGACTTTGAGTCATTTAAACCGGAATGCGGACGTATTTTCAAAACACAAAGCGGACATCGGTTGCTGCATTTTCGTCGAACACGAAATAGAAATAGAGGAAGGCGCCATTCCTCATAGGGAAGGCGCAAGGCGAATGACGCCTCATAAATCGAAAGCGTGCCGAGCGGAAATAGAAATATTGCTCGAATACGACATGAAAGAACCCTCAAAATTGCCTTTCCAGGACCTTCCAACCAGGTGAGATGCCTCTGACAACCAAGCCTAGGCCTGGTCTGAGAAGATTGCATCAGGAGATGAACAGCGAGGCTGCCTCAGCTAGTTCACAACTGAGAGCAGCTGTGCCACCAAATAGGGCGAGAGTAGAAGAAGTTCAGACGAACAAAACCATGCAAGATCTTAACGGAACGATAGAAGAACTGGAGAAGACCAGAAGGGTGCTGGTTGAAATGACGAAAACCATGCTCAGTACGGGAGAAAACAGAGACACGTGGAAAAGACTGTTTGAAGCAACAAGAAACAGGGTGAAGAAATGGAGGAGGCGCATAGGCAATGCCGTGACTCCGGAGCCTGGAGCGTTTGACACGGAATGGACGGAATTAAATCTAGCGCCTATGAGAATGATAGGCAGAGCCGAATTACCTGAGGCCTCCCTGATTTTGTCCAATGTGAAACAGGAGTTAACAGTGGGAGGAACGTTGCAGACGAGAACCTTCCTGGCACCCTTCGGCTATGATGAAATCAAAGTGGTCCATGGAGAAGAGGAAGATAAATCAGCCGGCAGGCTAATCATACCGAAAATTCCGGAAGGGACCAAGTCTGAAAGGCAAGGACCCTCAAGTTCGAGAGATGCGTCAGGAGGAGATGATGGGCAGGGAGGAAGCCGTCGATCGGAGGAGCCTATGCAAGAGGATCCCGATCAAGCAGAGAAGGAGGACGATAGAGCGTCGATAGGAGGAATATCCAGCCTGGATTTCAAATTATTCAGTGACTTTGAAAACAACTCAGACGCGTTGGAAACGACTGAATCAGCAAACGAAGGTACTTCTTTCGACACTGGAGCCTCCGTCAGTTTTTGCGGAAATGAAACGGAATTTGCCGGAGAGCAGCTCTCCGGGCAATTTTAAAGATAATGAACAAAGACTTCTCATTGAATCACCAAGGAGAAGAAGGATAGAAGGCGCTGCCAGAGTACCCTTCTTGGGAACATTACCCAAACAAGAGTGGGAGGTAAATCACCGAGACCATGAAAATAGGTGTGACAATAAAGTGACAATAAAAGATGCGTACCCGATACCGCGAATAGACGAGAGCCTCTCGAAACTTGGTGACGCCAAGTTCTTCACCACACTGGACTTGGGTTCTGCCTTCTGGCAGGTCTCTCTGCGGAAGAAGGACAGAGAAATGACCGGATTCGCGCGTGAAATGGCGTTGTACCAGTGGAAGAGGATGCCCTTTGGCCTGTGCAACGCCACGGCCACTTTTCAAAGACTGATAGCTCAGCCTTTGACCAGAGTGACGAAGATATACGGGAACCTTGTGATGTGTTACGTGGATGACGCGGCATAGCAACGCCCACCTTGGAAGACCACATTGATCTGCATGAAAAGAGCAGGCTCGAAATGTAAACCATCGAAGTGTGAGATACTCAGATATTCGATAAAGTATCTAGGGAGAATGGTGGACAGGCATGGCGTGAGGTCGGACCCGGAAGCAGTGGAGACTGTGTTGACATGGAAGGCTCCCAGAACGGACACAAAACTCATGAGCTTCCTTGGGTTTGCCAAATATTACCGTGAGTTCATAAAGGGATATGCAGACAAGGTGTATCCCATGCAGAAACTGATGCGCAACAAAAGAAAGAAGTTCGAATGGAACGAAGAAGCTCACGCTGCCTTCGAGAACTTAAAGCGGGAACTGTGCGAAGCGCCAGTGCTAGGCATGCCTACAGAGAAATGCATGTGTTTTCTTGATACGGATGCATCAGTTTTGGCCATCTCAGGAATACTGCTTTAGGAGCAGGAATGGAATGGAAGAATAGTTCTCCGTCCCATTGCATATGGCAGTAAAGTGTTGAGTGACACTGAAATGAAGAGTATAGTGCACCAAAGGCAGAAATGTTTGCAGTTGTCACACTCGTGGAGAAGACCCGCGCATACTTAGGGAGCATCCCTTTAAGTTACACGTGGACAATAGAGCGTTATCCTGGTTGAAGACGTACTCGTTGGACCAGAGCTATATTGGTCGGTGGATAGTCAGATTAGACGGCTACCACATAAAAATCGAGCACAGGATGCGTGACAAAAACCAGAATGCTGACAGCCTCAGCAAGAAGACTGAGTTTTGTGGAAGACTTGAACAGAAGCAAGCCAATCAGGCGGAAATCAAGAAAGGGTTCTCGTTTCTGAATAAAAAAATTTATAACGCGCTTTCCTTGACGAGAGGGTTAGACAAATCTCGACTTCCAATTCCGGGAAACCCCGAACTACCGGTGGAAAAAACAGCAGAAAGAAAGATCTTATCAAGGAAGGACCCGGTACCTTTGGATCTGTTGCTACGTTCAAACATGGTCCAACAGGAAATCTCTCTCGTATGAGCATAAACATCCTCTCGTTGCTGGATAAGAGGGTCCAGGTCACTCCGCAATTGATGCGGATTTTGGGTGAATTGTTGGAGAGAGAAATAACAAGAGATGACCCCGAGTGGGCAGCAGCCATGGCATTGCTGACAGTCAGTGAGAAAATAAAGATTATGCCATCAAGACGTCAACAAAAAGAAAATGAGAGGGGTTGTTGGACAATAGTTCAGCAACTAGTGTCCTCGATACCCCCAAAACCTCTTGACAAGTACATCATTCAAACGAAAAGAAACGGTGAAAAGGACACAAAGGAAAACTGTCACCTTTGAGGATCAGCATCAAAAAGGCCAAGCGGTTGAACAAAACCTGGGGCAAGAAATTTTGTCCGGGGAGAGGGTCGTTGATGGGAACAGGCAAGTTTATCAACAAAACCCGGTACAAGAAAGTTTGTCCGGGAGGCAGGTGTAGAGGAAAATGTTCAAGGTGAGGAAAAAGATCTGGAGGATAAAATTTTGTCCGGGGAGTTCAGATGGATGAGCAGAGCGCATAAAACTGATCCCGAAGAAGAAAAATGCTCAGTGACAGACTCTTCTATTGATGACAACTCAGGGAATTCGGGAATTGACACCTAATCAGACAGGAACTCGAGCACAGGATCGGAGTTGTCAGAGCTAGCGATCCACCTGTTGCTAGTGGAGACTCGAGCAAGAGACCTGGACAGAGAGGTATATCAAGACCCTGACAGTGATCGCTACCTGCTACGTAGCGAATCAATCTTTGACAACGCAGCTGATGATTTAGAAACAATAGCGGTATCGAAACGATCGATGAGTTTGTTGCCACAGAAAGAAGTAGTCAGACAAGAGACAGAGCCATTAGTGAAAACTTGTTGCGTGAAGATGGAAGATGACACGCATCAGCCAGATGAAACGAATAGTCATTTGAGGGTCATGAAGACGTACTTGAATGCGAGATACAGACTCTCAGAACTATTAAGAGAACAAAAAAACGACCGCATGACCAGCAAATTAAAAAGGTGGACCGAAAATGGAGCACCAGACAAAGGTGACCTGCAGGAAGACAGTTACCGTATTCTGAGACAGTACTTTATGCAGAAAGAGGGAAGGCTGTATCTGATTAAGGACGGGATCGTGGCTGGTAAGAGAAGAGAAGAAGACAAAGTCCTGTACAAATACAACGCGATAGTGTTGCCGCAACTCTATCAGACAGAACTTTTATTCAGGTCGCATGATCAGATGGGCCATCAGGGAATCGACAATGAGTAACAGAATATCAGGATCCTGGCGCGCTTTGAGCGGCCTGGAATGAAGAAGGCATGCGAGAAGTGGGTAACAGCATGTCTGTCATGCCAATAAGTCAAGGATTCAAGGAAATTGCGATTTCCCTTGCAGTCGATCGAGTCATCTGAATTCAAGGAGGTGGTGCAGATTGATCACCAAAAGATATGTATGACAGACAGTGGTTACAATCAAGTCTTGGTCATGATAGATCACTTCACGAAGTATGCAGAGGACGTGCGATCACCTAATCAATACGTGGATAGCGAGAAATGGTTTCCGATGACGTTTCGATCGGATAACGGAACAGCTTTCGTTGGAGATTTTACGAAAGAGCTCATAAGAAGTTCACAGGTAGCTGCTCAAGCTCACTCCACGACATACCATCTCTAGACGAATGGCTTAGTCGAACGGCAGAATCGAACGTTGGTGTCGATACTGAGGGTATATTGTTCCAGGTACATGACCAATTGGGACAGATAGCTTCCACAGGTGATGAGAGCTTAAAACAGCAAGCAACACTCCGCCACCGGAGTTAGTCCACACATGATGTTAACCGGACACGAGAACTCTTTGCCCTTGACTTTCTTTTACCCAGAGAATGAGGCCAAGAAAACATCACCACAAGTCTACGTAAGGGATGTGATTAGACGTCAACATGAACTAAACGAATTGTGTAGACGGAACACTCAGCAGGCACAGGCAAGACAGAGGAAAAAAAAGTTTCGATAAAAAAGCAGCTGGTGCAAAAACTTACTCGGTAGGAGACTACGTATGGGTATTTCAGAACGTTATACCACCGAAAGGAACGAAAAAACTCCTAAAAAAGTGGAGGGGACCCTTCATGATTACGGAAGTGCATCAGGAGGGACGTTTTTGTAGACTAAGTACCGGCCGAGCCGCTCACTGCGAAAACATTAAGTCACACAACCCATTGACAGAAGTCGGGTGTATAATGGCAGACATGGAAGGGGGAGATTATCTGATGATGGACCCTGCCTGTGAGGTCAATGAGAAAGTCACCAGGGGAAAGAACGATGGAAATGAAGTCGTAGAGGAAGGATCAAGTCCACCACTAGACCTGGATCCCAACGAGGTGATTGAGGCAGATGAAGAAACCTTACCCTACGCGGAGGAGGACCCCGAACAAATGGAGGTCCCCGAGAATTTGGAACCAGATCTTCCGTTTACGATACAGACCCGACAGAAGGACAGGACAAAACTCACGAAGGAATATAATTCTTACGGAGATGACTTCGTAGTGGACAGGATAGATCTGAAGAAGATGGTGGAAGAAGTAGTGGGTCTAGAAGAAATAACTGTGTCACAGGACATCGACATAGTCGACGATCACGACGAGGAGTGGGTCGATGACCGGTCCAAGCCCGAGGTAGAATTCGACGACGAGCAACCGCAATCCTATGAACAAGACTTGACGAATCTGCGTGTCATGGAATGGCTGAGAGAAATGACGTAAGACCCAATGGAGACCAGTGTCACAATTCAAGATGTGGATCGTGAAAGCATGAAATACATAAAAACCGAAAGGGATGATCCTTGCTGGGCTGCCCAGGAAGGGCAATGACTCATTCCTTCTTCCAACCTCGATTTGATATCCGGTATGCAATCGACGGGGACGTCGATGGCTATTTTGTCCGGGGAGTAGGGGTAGGATATACACACACTGAAAAATTATTAATAAAATTTAAGAATAGTAAGAGAGACAGGTGATCTAGAAGCAGAAACAGGCGAGGACTCTAAGAAACCGGACAAAGGGAGAGTAGTTGAGTCAGATCTAGCATAATATTGACAGATAGCACTTTTATACTTACAAATAGGACGTTTGCGATAGCAATTACAGCGGACATGATTTTTAGGACAGCGTTGGCAGCGGATATTTGGGAAAGAAAACAAAAAGATAGAATTCCTTTGGACGCAAAGACCAGGAATAGGAGGCGTAGCAGTCTTACCTCCGGCGGCGTCACAGATACCGGGAAAACACTTTTGCTTCTTGGTGACGAGGGAGACGGAGAAACAGCATGTGGACCCGGAAAACCTAGTCTTGTCTTTGACGAGACTGAGAGACTTCCTTGTGGAGAGGGAGGTGAAGGAACTCTCGCTTCCAGTATACGACCCGAACCGAGGACGACTGCATCCCCGGGAGCTGTATGCACTGATACACGTAATCTTTCAGATACTAACATACAAGTATACTTACATAAGAAATTTTATTTGAGTATAGGCTGAGTTTAGGTTGCATGCCGGAAGGTGTCATACTAAGTGTGTTGTATAATATATGTTATGTGTTATGTTAAGAAGACCCTGAATAAGAAAGGGATTGGTAACCATGAATAACCGAATGACAATCTTAGGAATAGTACCAAAGTTCGGACTGTTCATTCTTAGGTCGAATTCCGAAATTTTAGTAATAAACTGATTTTAAAATATTTTAAGATCAAAATCTTTTTATCTGACAGTTTTAAATAAATTTTAAAACAAAATAAGAGTAATGCTGACAAATGTGATATTCGTGACCTCTTTTCTAGATCCTGATTGATCATTCAATCATTCATCAGATTTCAATTGAATCAAGCTGATAATCAAACCGAATTTAACGAAATGGACAACATCGATTTGAACGAAATAATGGACCTAGCGGAGGCATACGTAGGACCGATGATCGATGCGATCTTTCGTCGGCTGATGGATTGAGACTTCGCTCTGGAGGACCCGAGACTTCGTCATATTGCTGGTCGCCTTAATAAACATCTTAGGGCATGATAACCGTGGGGACCGCCCCACGGAAGTCATATGGATGGCCGCATACGGAGAAAGAGGGGTACTAGACTGCCAAAACATGAGGGTAATGAGGTGGAGAAACGGGGCTCTCTCAGGAAGTGACTTGGTGAACGAGCCTGGATTGGGAAATTCCAGGACCTTCCAACCAGGTGAGATGCCTCTGACAACCAAGCCTAGGCCTGGTCTGAGAAGATTGCATCAGGAGATGAACAGCGAGGTTGCCTCATCTAGTTCACAACTGAGAGCAGCTGTGCCACCAAATAGGGCGAGAGTAGAAGAAGTTCAGACGAACAAAACCATGCAAGATCTTAACGGAACGATAGAAGAATTGGAGAAGACCA